CGGATTCCTATTGAAGTTGTTTACTAAACCATTTGGATTGAGAATAGTAGATTCCGGATTCCTATTGAAGTTGTTTACTAAACCATTTGGATTGAGAATAGTAGATTCCGGATTCCTATTGAAGTTGTTTACTAAACGATATGGAATTGGGGTAGGAGTAGTACTAATTACTAAAATATCCTCATTGTTGGGTTAAAGTAGATGGCAAATTTAAAAATTTTAAAATTGTGCGAGGATATAATAGATAAAAAAGATAAATTCATAATAAGTTAATTATCTATGAATTAGAATTATGGGAGCACATTTTACGCAGGTGGCTTCTTCACTCCCATCTTCCGTTTGTACTTTTGGTTCACTATGTTACCAGAGACTCTCTTGGTGGTGTGGACTTGCAATGGTGGTTTGGCTGCTTTGCTGTGGATGGTTTGGTTTGAAACTTTGTATGTGGGCCTTGCTTGTATTAAAATTCTGTTTTGTAATCTTTTGGGCTTATGTCTTATGCTTCTACTTATGTCACTCAGCCTTCAAACTCTTGTAATGTTTTTGCATATTTAATGAAGGTAGTTTGCCTTGACCAAAAAAAAAGAACAAAAAAAAAAAGAATACCACCTCCCACCAAAGAATTGAATTTCTCCAAAATTAGGAATTCAATTCCAATTCCTAATTTTGTGTGGGCCTCACTTACTTTTTAATTCATTGATGTGAAATAAACACATGAATCCTCATAATTGGAATTCAATTCTTGATTCGAATTCCAATTTTTGATTAGTAAACACATCATTAAGTCACTAAGGTGCACTGTTCAAATTATTTAAGCAATGGTTTAATTTTCTTTAAGAGGGACATCCTAGTTGATCCCTTCTTTCTGACAAAGATCTTTAGACTAGTACAACTTTCAGAACCATTATTGGCACTCCATAATAGTCATTATACAGCTTCCAGTTCAATCAAAAGTCATCCTCCAGTTAAAGCTTGATTTAAACACCCCCTCAAGTTGGAGCATGTATGTCCAATAGATTCAACTTTCCCTTTAATTGTAGGAAAGCTTCCTTGCCCAATGCCTTTGTAAACATATCTCCAATCTGATCTTTGGAAGAAATCAATGCATTACGTAATGAACCATCTTGAATTTTCTCATGAACAACATGGCAATTGATTTCGATGTGTTTTGTTTAGTTCATGATAAATCAGATTTGTTACTATGTACATGGCTGCTTTGTTGTCGCAGTAAAGTATACTGGGAAAATAATGTGATACACCGAAGTTTGGTAAAAGATATCATACCCATTGCAGCTCACAAGTGGCTACAGCCATGACCCTATACTTGGCTGACTTCTGAAGAAGACCTAGAGACAATGGGCTGTTTTTTTTTGTTTTCCATGAAACTGGACTTGTACCAAGAAACACACAATAGCCGGTGGTTGATCTTTTTGTCATAGGACAACTTGCCAATTTGAAGCACAAAAATCTCATAACTGTAATTCACTATGGAATGGCAATAGGATACATTGACCAGGTGATACTTTTAAGAAATGAACTAAACGTGTAACAACTTTTACATGAAGAAGCCTACTTGAGTCCGTATAGCCATTTGTGTAACTTGCAAACGACACTCTCCCCCTCACGGACATAAGCAGGCGGAGGGTATATCTAGGCTTCTTCATGTAAGTCCCATGCAATGATGCACTGCTACTAGAAAAAGGGTTTTTGTTCATTATTGTTATCAGTATTATTATACAATCTCATATGTAATGCGCAGTTTTGGATGGAAAATTCATATAGCATAAAGAAGTAAACCAAATGTGTCCGTATCCTATAGCTACTGTCTTACCAACTCTCTCGTTTGTTTTTTGGTTCGTGTCAATAGAAATAAAACCAAATGATAATGACGGGTTTCTTGTTGAAGATCCGTTGGGTGGTTGCATTTGGCGAAGATAGTAATCATTTCTATATATCTGTATGAAGTATCAGCCATATGGAAAATTTGGTAGAGTGGAGTCCTTGTACGAAAGTTCTTCAAGGGTAATAAAGGAATAATTCTCAAGAATATTATGCCAAAATTATTGTTTCCTCCATATGATATTGATCATATATTCCATTTGAGGGTGTTTATATTTTAGTGGGAATCTTTAGAAATCTAGGTAAGATTTTGAGAAAATAATATTTCTTGTAAAAGAATTAGAAGACAGCAGAAACTTATGGGATATGGCATTGATACTAGAGACAAAGTTTGAGGGCGTCCAAGAGAGAGAGAGAGAGAGAGAGAACACAGGTGGTGTGGTGATAATTGACCTAATTAAATGCAAATTTACATGCAACTTATTAACAACTTTTGGCCTGCAAGCCCACCCTTAATTGTCTTTAGCAAAGGATCTTTGCCCTAATCGAGTTTCCATGAGACATCTTATCTATTTTTTAAATGCCTGAAGGTCGGCATAGTACTTGGCTATCCAACGTTTAATGATCTTCACCTCAATTTTCCGCTGATTTACTAACCAGTCTGGATCAGTAATGTTGTTTGCATTAAGGAGATCCAAGCAATGAGACCCTGCAAAATACAATTTAATTTCATATTATAATATATAAAAAAATTATTTGATATCTCTATCTTTTTGGGTTTTTTTCCTTACGTACAAGAAAACAACATTATAGTCATTGATATCCGAAGAGGTGAGTAAAGACACTATTTAGCACAATGTGTATACAAATAACCATGATTGTTAGCTATTAGGCGCAAATAATGTTTTTAGCCACCTTATCATTTGTTGCGAATGTCAATGACTATTAATTATGGTTTTTTTTTTGGGTGTGTAATGTGGAACGATAGTGTGAGAATGTATACGAGCTGCCCCGAGAAAACTTTCTCAAGTGCAACATATTTGAAATGTTACATTTTGTTTTCGGATTTAGCCCTTGTGAAAATAGTGAATTTGGAAGTTACCATTCTTTGCATGGACGGCAACGACGGTGTCTGATATGTCCTCCAACACTCTGCGATGAGAATTAAACAAACTGTTAAACTTGGTCAAGTAAACACAGCATAAGTTGTTTATTCATGTTCATATGCTTACCCGCCACTACTGTAAGGATCTCTTAGCCCATTGGAGAAAATAATGTTGCTAGCGAACCTTTCAAGTGCTAGTTTTATATCCTGTTTGGCATCACAATTAATTTTTGCTAGCATTAGTTCTCAAATATGAAGAAGAAAAAAGAAGAAGAGTGATATCATTTTGAGAACATATAATTATAAGATAATTGATTGATACATACATGGCCTCCAAAGTACGTAGTGGCCCAATGAGGCCGAGGAGGGACGCCATACTGTGCCTGGCAGGATTTGATGTAGTCTTTTAGGTCGAATTGGTAAGCTGGAAACATGCTGTCGTTGCTGACGGAGGTCATCGGAATCACCATGTCACTACATGTCTAAAGTCATCACCATATTATAAGATGTGATTTAATAAAGGTACATTTTCTTTTCTTTTTTGTTTGATTTCGGAAAAAAAAAAACTATAAGATATATACATATATATATATTCTGAATATGTGTGAAGATAAATATCACTAAACTAATCACTAATTGGTACGTGTCGATGTACTTAAATTCTAATGAGTAGAGAATACAAAAGACAACGATGCATCTTGTTAATTAATTACTTCACTTATTGTGCATCAATTTAATATGGTCTCAAAGGTGACCGAATGGGAGGAGTGATTATTTAGAACTTTAGCCTTGGGGGTAAATGGTCACAAACGCTGAAGCTACAAGCCACCACTATAGTTTTCGATTTCCTTACGTCTATTGAGCTCTGGTGTTAGCTGTTAAAAATTAAATTATGAGGGGACTGCTTTCAATAATGACTATTTGGCTTGTAGATACTGCAACAAATTTCAAGCAACATGTATAAAAGAAGTGACTTAATAACCATGGAAAAGTAATATGTAACTTGTAAGCAACCTAGCTAGCATGTGCGCAAGTCAATGTGATCTCATCTAGATGTTATCAAGGGACCATTCCCACAATCAACATCAAGAACATACACTCTCCAAAACATATGCATCGTGAATTGCGCATGTGCAAAGTTACGTATCCACAACTCTGCTGACTAAAGGAATATATTCCATTTTATGGAACACAATTCTTTATATAAATGATATATAGGCATGAACTTAATTAAATAAGTTGGTAATTGTCATCGTGACCATTGTTAATACTTAATACTTTCTAAGTAGATCATAATTAGTCATATAAATAATTAAGATAAGGTGACAAGTTACGTGAATAGTTATAATTAACTACCTGCCAACTCCAGCCCATATCTGTTTCAGTTAAATTTCTGGGATGATTAACATAGCATGACGTGTTTCCACTAAATGCAACAACGCCGGCAAATATTTTAGTAAGAGTATCATTTCCAGAAGCTCCATCAATGCCCCCACATACAGCAGTGACTGGATATGTTGGTGGACTATTGTATTGAGCTGCGTTACAATACAAATTATCCAAGTAGTTCTTCAGCTCGGACGATTTGATCAAGGGCCTAGAAAAGAAAAGGGTGACAATAATAGTCAGAATTAACTCTCGTCATTTTTTTATACACACTACTGAGATGTCGTAGGAGTTTGAACCCTAAACCCTAACTCTCGTCATTATGTATAAATATCCTACGTAACAAGCAAACGAAAGAGTAATGACGGATTAATCTTGAGAATTAACTCTTGTTATTAAGTAAATGACAATAAAACAAAAGAGAAAAGACTTAAACATTAAAATTAACTACTATAATTGTTTAAATGCCAACATGAAAATGACAAATAAATAAAAAAAAAGAATCGAGAGGGCTACCGTGGAATTTCTTGATTAAGTAGAGTAACTCCTATAATCATCAGAATTATCTAGCTTATTAGCTAGCTGTTAAGATCATCCCATAATGGAAAGGCTAGCTCTGTGAGCACCTACCTGCAAGTGTGAAATTTCTCACTAAGAAATGAGAGGCCTTCAGGCTGAGAAGCAATTGCATCAATTTCAGACCACGACTTCTTTATAGTTTGGTAGCAAGTCTCACTCGCTTCCTACACGTGTGCATGCCAATAAATAGTAATTAAGAGTTTTTTTAATTAAATAAAATATTGATGCTAAGACAAACGGGTGAACAAAAGGGAAATATATTACCCTAAAATCTTTGGTAACAATTGAATAATATCCATCCTCCGGGGGAACAATGTTATCAAAGTAAAGAATTGGAGCTGATGAGGCTAGAGCTCCTAAAGCAACATGGGGGTACTTTAGCCGAAACCATGAAGCAAGCACTGCATCAAAAATACAAAATGAGAAACGAAAAATAATTAAAAACATGGACAAAAACTTTCTGGATACTTAATTAATCAGTCGTATTTGCAGAGATGGGTATGGAATCCCTCACTTCCGCCGTACGATGCCCCGATAACAATCACCGGAGAATGCTGAGCGTGGAGTTTCTTCTTTACGTGGATGAGGACCTCTGCATAATCTGCTAGTGCTTGGGCTGAGTTGAAGTACCCAAGAGTGTCTGCATTTTGAAATGCCTCTTCCCTTGATCCGAATGGGACCGATTTCCCATAGTACCGGTGCTAGAATGAGAAAAATAAAAGTCTCAAAACTAAGTAACATATAAGAATTCACTCTAATCAGCGTTTATCTGGCAAGAGAACATCACATATATATAGATATTTACGTCTATCGGTATTCGATGTACATACCTCTATAAATATCTGGAGGGCTTGGAACTGATGGGCGTTCTCACTGAGAAAGCCAATAATAGAGAGATCATCATCAATTGCTTCTTCTTCGCCAAGGTAAGCAAATATTGGTGCACTAACATTGGAGCCACCCCAATGCTTGAAATTGATCAAATATCTTTGTTGAAAAGTATTGAAGCTATCAGGCCTGAAGTTGAAATGGTCAAGTGTTTGGTTATAATAAAATGTTTCAAAATCATTAATTGGATCAGCAGCAGACATAGTTTTCTGCTGGTCGTGCGCAAAATAATTTCCGCGTAAAAATTTGCCTCCATTTGGACTCAGCCGTGGGATATTCAGGTGTGCAGAAGAAACTGAGGTTTTGATAGAGAGAGAAACAATTAGCACAAGGCATTGAAGTAAAGACATGAGTAGGTTAATTTTGTAGCAAAATGCTATTGGAGAGTATGAGTTGTGTGTTTTCAGAGCTGTAACTAACAACGGTTATATATAAACTATGAGATATCAAAGAATGGAAGAGAATTATATATTATTTTTCGGTCAACAAGAATAGAAGAGAATATGTCACTGTTTTGACTAGTCAAAATTCAAAGAAAGTATATTTGGCCGGCGAAAATCGGTGGCCTTACTGGCAACAATATTTAATTACAACAATAATCACTCTGTTTACAATTTAATAAAAGGAAAGAAAACATATATGAGTTTAGCTAAGTTGGCTAGAGCGGATGTGCTCCATATAGTCTACACTTGAGTTTGATTCCATCTCCCCATAGTTTAGATTAGATTAAAGTAGAAGGATACTACTTGTCTCCTTATCGGTAGGGAGATCCTCTCCCTTCCTGGAAATCACAGTTTAACACATATGCAAAAATAATTCATTAAAAACACAAAAAGAAAAACTTCTGCACATATGTCACCTTGCTATTGGCAAGAATATAGTAGTTCCTACTTACCTAGTAAGGAGGGTATTTTCCAA